ATGTGTCAGTTATAAACATAACACAGTCTGCCAATGATAACTGGTTTATAAGATTAGAGATCATCATGTGTCAGTTATAAACATAACACAGTCTGCCAATGATAACTGGTTTATAAGATTAGAGATCATCATGTGTCAGTTATAAACATAACATAGTCTGCCAATGATAACTGGTTTAGAAGATTAGAGATGTGCCAGTTATAAACAAAAGGATCCCACTTTCAACAACTCTATGTGTTGATTTTTTTCTTCTGGCATGAATATGTGACTGTTACCTAGCCAGATATTTTACTATTGGAGTTAGAATATTGTACTAAGGCTACAGATATAAAGCATGTCATTTTGTGAAATGTAACAACACCACTTTGAAGGTATTGTTGAATGTTTCAAATTAAAAGAAAGTTTTTAGTAAATGCACCCTTAAACTAATTTGATATACTCCCCAAACACTAAAGAGATAAAAATGAGTGAATTACAAAGAAAACAGAGTGGACACAGAATGTCCTATATCAGTTACATTTGGTTAAAGGTGATGTTCTTGAAACACTTTCTAGTTTTGGTATTAAAATAATTTATATACATATAATCATCATCAATTATAATACTGAGCATTAGCAGGTACAGGTATTAAGAATTAAACATCATTGTAAACTTTGCAATCAAAATATGGCTTTGATTCACAAAAACATGGTATCATATTGTTGACCTTTGATGTCATCAGATTTTGTTTGAAACTGTTGATCACAGTGATGAAGGCAGGAGAGGACTCGGATGTGGAGGAGGATGGAGAGACAGATTTGGGCAGTTTGAGCATCGATGACATCATCAATCACATTGAACAACTTAAAATCAAGGATGAAAAGAAGGTAAACCTTTGTTATAGAGAATGGTCCTGACTCCCTGTGAACATTCAGTCTTGTTTACGTACATATGGATGTGCATGGTACATAGAGTCACCTTACAAGCTTTTCCTAGCTTATTGGTGGTCGATAAAAAAGTCGGGGCTCATAGATTTGATCCCCAATGAATACACATATTTTTTTCCTTACTATTACAAACTGGTGCCCTGGCAAAGCCTTGGTTCTGACTGAAATTCTAAATCTGAGGGTAGAATATCCATATCTCAGATAATTACTAACTTACATAATGATTGGCTCTTTTTCTACCCCAGATTTGGATAAATAACAATATAGACAATGCAAATGCAACATTTAACTAAGCAACAATTCTAGATAATGTATAAAAAAAACTAGAAGTTGTACCTGGAAAGAGCAGAAACAAATATTCTATATTAGTATACCATAGGCACATACTAAATTCTTTCTAGTGTGATATTAATGACCTCCAGGGTAAGTTTGTGCAATAATTCTTATGTCCATGATGTCATTTTCCAATTGCAAGAAAGTCATTGTCAGGGCTGTCAATTTTGACATCATAATGTGACGTCTGATTGTGGTGTCATAATAGAAAATGTCACAGAGTTCACCTATTTGCAGACATAAACCTTTAGGTTTGACATAGATTCTTTAACAGAAGAGTACTTCACATTCAAAGATTGTTTAAACTTTCCTCTCTAAAAACAGTGGCACATCCCTAAAAGGATTTCTCATACTGCTGTTTGTTGTATTATTTTTCAAATACATATATGATCCTGCATAACTTTCCATTTCATATGAAATTTATGAAACAAGTCTAAGAATTTTTCAATTTAGTGAGCCTAGCCTCTGGCGAGCTAAAATGAAAAAAATCATGACAAGTTTCATCAGTTTCATATGAAATGAAAATGAGTGTAAGATCCTTTTTATCACATAATTAAGATTTATGGCATTTATGCATGTAAAACTACAATTGTCATACAACCTCGAAATGTAAAAAGCCTCCATTTTGACTCCATTGAGTAAGTCTGTGACATCATGTACTTGTCCTAGGTGCGGCATCATAATTGGAACTTACAACCAATCACAGGGCTGATGGGTCATATTACATGGGTTAATACGCAAAAATATATGACATGGGTATATTCACTGGATAACACAGTACATTATGTGATAAATGAAATAGTTAATACAAATGAACATGCATACCGTTTTACAACTGACTGCCCAAGATAAACAAAAGTTAGATCTAGTTGAAACTGCACACCAGCACAAACGCTGGCAAAAGTTATTGAATGTTTTGTTTCTACATTGAAGCCATGGTACCCTGTTCTGAATAGCTTTTGAATTTTAGATCCTCAGAATGAGATGAAACCTAAAGTATTTAACCAACCCTATACTTTGTGCATGTTTGTAAAATGCTAGTTGGAAAGTGGGGAGGTGAATAGCTTAGTCTAATGCTCAGTGTGTTACCATTTGGAAAAAAGGTATATACCGGTAGTATATTTTGTAATTATTATCATGGAGTTTATTGTAAGAAATCCCTGATTCGTGATTATATTTATATTTTGTCCTGTAAAATTTTCTTGAATATATTTAATTTGATAAAGTTAAAAAGGTAAATTATATATTGTTTTGATTATGACTACATTCATGTACCTATTTGATTTTTTTTTTTAATTTGAGGAGCTGTGTTTCTTGCTTCATTCTAATGAAATGGTAATTTTATGTAATATTTTTGTTTTATTTTACAGGAAATTTTCACAGCCAGAGGGAAAATAAAAACCGATCAAATAAATGATAGAGTGTATCCCTACCGTAACCACGGGCAGCCTCCCCACAGTCAGCTGTATGGTGGTCATGCCAATCTGCCTGAATACAAATTTCAACCCCACTTTCAACAGCCTTGTCTCAATTCTGATATCATCACTACTCCGTCCTCATTTCGACTGATTACAACTCAAAATTTTACGGAGAAACAAAATCAGTATGTGGAGGGAGTTGATGAAAGATGCCGATTTTGGATGAAACCAAAAGAAGAATTACAGTACTATCAAAAACATGGCCACCCACTCCTTCCTCGTACAGACCCACATAATGGACAATGGGTAGTTGATGGACGTGTCCGAAAGCCAAAGAATTTTGGCGACTCCAAACCTGTAGGAAAAGTTGTGTCGAAGAGAATACAGAAACAAAAACAACCCAATGATTTAACTGTGGCTGACGGCGTGACACTTTTTCCAGATTTTTACTGTGAGGAGGACATGATAGGTAATGAAATAAATCACAAATATCAAGTTTCCTAAAATCTTGATACATAAAAGGCAGTACATCTTAATTGAACTGTCTTATTTATCATATGAGATTTAGTAATACAAACAGGGAGGCAGCACTTCCCAGATATTATCGCTGCCCTCCCAGGATATTGTCACTGCCCTCCCCAGATATTGTCACAGGCCACCCCAGATATTATCACTGTCCTCCCCAGATATTATCACTGTCCTCCCCAGATATTATCACTGTCCTCCCCAGATATTATCATTGTCCTCCCCAGATATTATTACAGTCCACCCCAGATATTATCACAGGCCACCCCAGATATAATCATTGTCCTCCCCAGATATTATCACTGTCCTCCCCAGATATAATCATTGTCCTCCCCAGATATTATCACAGTCCTCCCCAGATATTATCACTGTCCTCCCCAGATATTATCACTGTCCTCCCCAGATATTATCACTGTCCTCCCCAGATATTATCACTGTCCTCCCCAGATATTATCACTGTCCTCCCCAGATATTATCACTGTCCTCCCCAGATATTATCACTGTCCTCCCCAGATATTATCACTGTCCTCCCCAGATATTATCACTGTCCTCCCCAGATATTATCACTGTCCTCCCCAGATATTATCACTGTCCTCCCCAGATATTATCACTGTCCTCCCCAGATATTATCACTGTCCTCCCCAGATATTATCACTGTCCTCCCCAGATATTATCACTGTCCTCCCCAGATATTATCACTGTCCTCCCCAGATATTATCACTGTCCTCCCCAGATATTATCACTGTCCTCCCCAGATATTATCACTGTCCTCCCCAGATATTATCACTGTCCTCCCCAGATATTATCACTGTCCTCCCCAGATATTATCACTGTCCTCCCCAGATATTATCACTGTCCTCCCCAGATATTATCACTGTCCTCCCCAGATATTATCACTGTCCTCCCCAGATATTATCACTGTCCTCCCCAGATATTATCACTGTCCTCCCCAGATATTATCACTGTCCTCCCCAGATATTATCACTGTCCTCCCCAGATATTATCACTGTCCTCCCCAGATATTATCACTGTCCTCCCCAGATATTATCACTGTCCTCCCCAGATATTATCACTGTCCTCCCCAGATATTATCACTGTCCTCCCCAGATATTATCACTGTCCTCCCCAGATATTATCACTGTCCTCCCCAGATATTATCACTGTCCTCCCCAGATATTATCACTGTCCTCCCCAGATATTATCACTGTCCTCCCCAGATATTATCACTGTCCTCCCCAGATATTATCACTGTCCTCCCCAGATATTATCACTGTCCTCCCCAGATATTATCACTGTCCTCCCCAGATATTATCACTGTCCTCCCCAGATATTATCACTGTCCTCCCCAGATATTATCACTGTCCTCCCCAGATATTATCACTGTCCTCCCCAGATATTATCACTGTCCTCCCCAGATATTATCACTGTCCTCCCCAGATATTATCACTGTCCTCCCCAGATATTATCACTGTCCTCCCCAGATATTATCACTGTCCTCCCCAGATATTATCACTGTCCTCCCCAGATATTATCACTGTCCTCCCCAGATATTATCACTGTCCTCCCCAGATATTATCACTGTCCTCCCCAGATATTATCACTGTCCTCCCCAGATATTATCACTGTCCTCCCCAGATATTATCACTGTCCTCCCCAGATATTATCACTGTCCTCCCCAGATATTATCACTGTCCTCCCCAGATATTATCACTGTCCTCCCCAGATATTATCACTGTCCTCCCCAGATATTATCACTGTCCTCCCCAGATATTATCACTGTCCTCCCCAGATATTATCACTGTCCTCCCCAGATATTATCACTGTCCTCCCCAGATATTATCACTGTCCTCCCCAGATATTATCACTGTCCTCCCCAGATATTATCACTGTCCTCCCCAGATATTATCACTGTCCTCCCCAGATATTATCACTGTCCTCCCCAGATATTATCACTGTCCTCCCCAGATATTATCACTGTCCTCCCCAGATATTATCACTGTCCTCCCCAGATATTATCACTGTCCTCCCCAGATATTATCACTGTCCTCCCCAGATATTATCACTGTCCTCCCCAGATATTATCACTGTCCTCCCCAGATATTATCACTGTCCTCCCCAGATATTATCACTGTCCTCCCCAGATATTATCACTGTCCTCCCCAGATATTATCACTGTCCTCCCCAGATATTATCACTGTCCTCCCCAGATATTATCACTGTCCTCCCCAGATATTATCACTGTCCTCCCCAGATATTATCACTGTCCTCCCCAGATATTATCACTGTCCTCCCCAGATATTATCACTGTCCTCCCCAGATATTATCACTGTCCTCCCCAGATATTATCACTGTCCTCCCCAGATATTATCACTGTCCTCCCCAGATATTATCACTGTCCTCCCCAGATATTATCACTGTCCTCCCCAGATATTATCACTGTCCTCCCCAGATATTATCACTGTCCTCCCCAGATATTATCACTGTCCTCCCCAGATATTATCACTGTCCTCCCCAGATATTATCACTGTCCTCCCCAGATATTATCACTGTCCTCCCCAGATATTATCACTGTCCTCCCCAGATATTATCACTGTCCTCCCCAGATATTATCACTGTCCTCCCCAGATATTATCACTGTCCTCCCCAGATATTATCACTGTCCTCCCCAGATATTATCACTGTCCTCCCCAGATATTATCACTGTCCTCCCCAGATATTATCACTGTCCTCCCCAGATATTATCACTGTCCTCCCCAGATATTATCACTGTCCTCCCCAGATATTATCACTGTCCTCCCCAGATATTATCACTGTCCTCCCCAGATATTATCACTGTCCTCCCCAGATATTATCACTGTCCTCCCCAGATATTATCACTGTTCTCCCCAGATATTATCACTGTCCTCCCCAGATATTATCATTGTCCTCCCCAGATATTATCACTGTCCACCCTAGATATTATCACTTTCCTCCCCAGATATTATCACTGTCCTCCCAAGATATTATCACAGTCCTCCCCAGATATTATCACTGTCCACCCTAGATACTATCACTGTCCTCCCCAGATATTATCACTGTCCTTCCCAGATATTATCACTGTCCTCCCCAGATATTATCACAGTCCTCCCCAGATATAATCATTGTCCTCCCCAGATATTATCACAGTCCTCCCCAGATATTATCACTGTCCTCCCCAGATATTATCACTGTCCTCCCCAGATATTATCACTGTTCTCCACAGATATTTATTAGCTGAAAATCAAATCATAATTATAACCATGTATATAGTTGTTGTACTGGGGACGTACTCCCTGGGCCTTAACAAGAAAACTAGAGATCCCTATCATAAAACCATGTATATAGTTGTTGTACTGGGGACGTACTCCCTGGGTCATATCATGGAAACTGTTGAGATACTCACCATGTAACCATGTACATGTATAGAATTGCTAGGCATGAATAGACCCATATGTGCATGCTACCAGGATTTGCTGGGGGTCCAGACCACCTCTAGGTACTTTCTCTCTGGCTTTTAACATGGAAACACTTGAAATGCCCACCCTTTCACAATGCAATACAATTGCTAGTCATGAAACTTCTACGATTGGCACCAGGTTCTAGCCTTGCCCCTCTGTACTCCCTGGGTCTTAACATGGAATAGTTGAAATTTACACCCTATAACCATGTATAAAATTTTCTAAGGCATCAATAGATGGAAACACTTTTGCTACTAGAATTGGCCCTACAGTCTTGCCTTTTCCTTAGTGACTTACTTCATTGGTCATGACAAAAAATATTGAGATCCCCAACTCTATAGCCATACCGAAAATAGCTGGGCAAGATCCCCAACTCTATAGTCATACCGAAATAGATGGGCAAGATCCCCAACTCTACGTGATCACTGGGTTAATACGCAAAAATATATGACTCTATAGCCATACCAAAAATAGCTGGGCAAGATCCCCAAATCTATAGCCATACCGAAAATAGCTGGGCAAGATCCCCAACTCTCTTACCATACCGAAAATAACTGGGCAAGATCCCCAACTCAATAGCCATACCAAAAATAGCTGGGCAAGATCCCCAACTCTATAGCCATACCGAAAATAGCTGGGCAAGATCCCCAACTCTATAGCCATACCGAAAATAGCTGGGCAAGATCCCCAACTCTATAGCCATACCGAAAATAGCTGGGCAAGATCCCCAACTCTATAGCCATACCGAAAATAGCTGGGCAAGATCCCCAACTCTATAGCCATACCCGAAATAGCAGGGCAAGATCCCCAACTCTATAGCCATACCGAAAATAGCTGGGCAAGATCCCCAACTCTCTAACCATACCGAAATAGCTGGGCAAGATCCCCAACTCTATAACCATACCGAAAATAGCTGGGCAAGATCCCCAACTCTGTAGCCATACCGAAATAGTAGGGCAAGATCCCCAACTCTATAGCCATACCGAAAATAGCTGGGCAAGATCCCCAACTCTGTAGCCATACCGAAATAGTAGGGGAAGATCCCCAACTCTATAGCCACACCGAAAATGGCTGGGCAAGATCCCCAACTCTATAGCCATACCGGAAATAGCTGGGCAAGATCCCCAACTCTATAACCACACCGAAAATAGCTGGGCAAGATCCCCAACTCTGTAGCCATACCGAAATAGGAGGGCAAGATCCCCAACTCTATAGCCATACCGAAAATAGCAGGGCAAGATCCCCAACTCTATAGCCATACCGAAAAAAGCTGGGCAAGTTCCCCAACTCTATAGCCATACCGAAAATAGCAGCGCAAGACCCCCAACTCTATAGCCATACCGAAAATAGCTGGGCAAGATCCCCAACTCTATAATCATATCGAAAATAGCTGGGCAAGATCCCCAACTTTATAATCATACTGAAAATAGCTGGGCAAGATCCCCAACTCTATAGCCATACCGAAAATAGCTGAGCAAGATCCCCAACTCTCTAACCATACCGAAATAGCTGGGCAAGATCCCCAACTCTCTAACCATCACGGAAATAGCTGGGCAAGATCCCCAACTCTATAGCCATACCAAAAAAGCTGGGCAAGATCCCCAACTCTATAGCCATCCCGAAAATAGCTGAGCAAGATCCCCAACTCTCTAACCATAACGAAAAAACTGGGCAAGATCCCCAACTCTCTAACCATCACGGAAATTGTGTGAAATTGTTGTGCTCATACATATTCACATGTCTCAGGCTGAGTTTGATTATGAATTTGATCTATGCATATTTATACATGTACACAATTAACGAGACTCAATTACATTCTGATTAGCGATTTGGTTCCTGTTCAGTAACTGTCTTACTAAATGCGTCAATTCAACTATGAAATTCCTTACACATACATGATGACATGTCCTAGAGTGAGTTCCATCCTGAGTGTGATCCGTGCATATTTATTCACTATTAATGAGGTTACAATAGACTACATAATAATAATTCATGTCCTGAAAGCAGGGGAATTTGCTTGTGTCTTTTGGTCTTGTTATATGTACCTGTTCACATTTCCTCTGTAAGTGTACCTGTTAACCATTGACCTTTGACCACTGTTTCCAACGTAGATGGACTAGACCTGGATGAGGACTGCTGCCCAAGGGAAATGCACTTCTCTGAAAAAGCCTGGGAAGATGGCATCCCCAAGTTGGATCTTCCGGCTCGTGATCTCATGGAAATTTTCGAGAATAGTCCAGACAGCCATATCTTATCCAAAGGTGAAAACCTTGGTTACCCCCCCTTGTCACCATTAGGGACTATTCCAAATTATCATCCATCACCAGGTCGCATGGACGAGGTGATGTTTAATCAGGACAGTAATGACAAAGTTTCCAGTCCAGAACAGAGTCAGGACGAGTGTGAGACCACAGAGAACCATTCCAGTCCCTACCCTCCGAGGGCTCCATCTCCTCACAACACGGTCCAGGCTGACATTGAAGTGTGCTCCCCAGCAGAACTCTCTCCAGGGGAGTTAAAACAGCTGGAGCATTTCTCAGAACATTTTAACGATACTTTCACAATGCTGGACAGCGACATGTATTTTGACTGGATTTCCTGTGATATAGATGGGGACAGGTGAGTAGTTAACTGTTGGTGAGTGGTTTACTGTTGGTGAGTGGTTAACTGTTGGTGAGTGGTTTACTGTTGGTGAGTGGTTTACTGTTGGTGAGTGGTTTACTGATGGTGAGTGGTTTACTGTTGGTGAGTGGTTTACTGATGGTGAGGAGTTTACTGTTAGTGAGTAGTTTACTGTTAGTGAGTAGTTTACTGTAAGTGAGTAGTTTACTGTTGGTGAGTAGTTTACTGTTGGTGAGTGGTTTACTGTTAGTGAGTAGTTTACTGTTAGTGAGTGGTTTACTGTTAGTGAGTGGTTTACTGTTGGTGAGTGGTTTACTGTTGGTGAGTGGTTTACTGTTGGTGAGTGGTTTACTGTTGGTGAGTGGTTTACTGTTGGTGAGTGGTTTACTGTTGGTGAGTGGTTTACTGTTGGTGAGTGGTTTACTGTTGGTGAGTGGTTTACTGTTGGTGAGTGGTTTACTGTTGGTGAGTGGTTTACTGTTGGTGAGTGGTTTACTGTTGGTGAGTGGTTTACTGTTGGTGAGTGGTTTACTGTTGGTGAGTGGTTTACTGTTGGTGAGTGGTTTACTGTTGGTGAGTGGTTTACTGATGGTGAGTGGTTTACTGTTGGTGAGTGGTTTACTGTTGGTTAGGAGTTTACTGTTAGTGAGTAGTTTACTGTTGGTGAGTAGTTTACTGTTGGTGAGTAGTTTACTGTTAGTGAGTTGTTTACTGTTAGTGAGTAGTTTACTGTTAGTGAGTGGTTTACTGTTGGTGAGTGGTGTACTATAGGGTGAGTGGGGTACTATAGGGTGAGTGGCATACTATAGGGTGAGTGGTGTACTATAGGGTGAGTGGTGTACGGTTGGTGAGTGGTGTACTATAGGGTGTGTACTATAGGTGAGTGGTGTACTGTTGGTGAGAGGGGTACTATAGGTGCGTGGTGTACTGTTGGTGAGTGGTGTACTGTTGGTGAGTTGTGTACTGTTGGTGAGTGGTGTACTATAGGGGGAGGGGTGTACTATAGGGTGAGTGGTGTACTATAGTGTGAGTGGCGTACTATAGGGTGAGTGGTGTACTATAGGGTGAGTGGGGTACTATAGGGTGAGTGGTGTACTATAGGGTGAGTGGCGTACTATAGGGTGAGTGGCATACTATAGGGTGAGTGGTTTACTGTTGGTGAGTGGTTTACTGTTGGTTAGGAGTTTACTGTGAGTGAGTAGTTTACTGTTGGTGAGTAGTTTACTGTTGGTGAGTGGTTTACTGTTGGTTAGGAGTTTACTGTTAGCGAGTAGTTTACTGTTGGTGAGTAGTTTTCTGTTGGTGAGTGGTGTACTGTTGGTGAGTGGTGTACTATAGGGTGAGTGGCATACTATAGGGTGAGTGGTGTACTATAGGGTGAGTGGTGTACTGTTGGTGAGTGGTGTACTATAGGGTGAGTGGTGTACTATATGGTGAGTGGTGTACTATAGGGTGAGTGGTGTACTGTTGGTGAGTGGTGTACTATAGGGTGAGTGGTGTACTATAGGGTGAGTGGTGTACTATAGGGTGAGTGGTGTACTGTTGGTGAGTGGTGTACTATTGGGTGAGTGGTGTACTATAGGGTGAGTGGTGTACTATATGGTGAGTGGTGTACTATAGGGTGAGTGGTGTACTGTTGGTGAGTGGTGTACTATAGGGTGAGTGGTGTACTATAGGGTGAGTGGTGTACTATAGGGTGAGTGGTGTACTGTTGGTGAGTGGTGTACTATAGGGTGAGTGGTGTACTATAGGGTGAGTGGTGTACTATAGGGTGAGTGGTGTACTGTTGGTGAGTGGTGTACTATAGGGTGAGTGGTGTACTATAGGGTGAGTGGTGTACTATAGGGTGAGTGGTGTACTGTTGGTGAGTGGTGTACTATAGGGTGAGTGGTGTACTATATGGTGAGTGGTGTACTATAGGGTGAGTGGTGTACTATATGGTGAGTGGTGTACTATAGGGTGAGTGGTGTACTGTTGGTGAGTGGTGTACTATAGGGTGAGTGGTGTACTATAGGGTGAGTGGTGTACTGTTGGTGAGTGGTGCACTGTTGGTGAGTGGTGTACTGTTGGTGAGTGGTGTACTGTTGGTGAATGGTGTACTATAGGGTGAGTGGTGTACTATAGGGGAGTGTTGTATTGTTGGTGAGTGGTGTACTATAGGGTGAGTGGTGTACTATAGGGTGAGTGGTGTACTGTTGGTTAGTGGTGTACTATAGGGTGAGTGGTGGACTGTTGGTGAGTGGTGTACTGTTGGGGAATGGTGTACTATAGGGTGAGTGGAGTACTATAGGGTGAGTGGTGTACTATAGGGGATTAATGTATGAAAAGCAAATGCTCCCATTGTCATTGGTAGACTGTGCAGTTGTCTTTAGAATTGACTTGAACATAGGTGGTGTACTGTTGGTGAGTGGTGTCCTATAGGGTGAGTGGTGTACTATAGGGTGAGTGGTGTACTATAGGGGATTAATGTATGAAAAGCAAATGCTCCCATTGTCATTGGTAGACTGTGCAGTTGTCTTTAGAATTGACTTGAACATAGTTTGGAGATTCTGTAGGTTTCATACATGTATATTAAAAGGTCTCCTAGCTAGAAGGCCTCTCCCAGTGAATTATGTGTGCCTATCCACTTGATGGCTGTCCACTTGATGGCTGTCATTCTGTAGCGTTTACTTTTTTGTTGTGTTTTGTTGTATTTTGTGAACCAGCTTTGTTGGTTGGATTTATTTTTCAACAAAGTGGAAGTTTTAGAATAAAAATGATTCATGTAGGGTACATATGTATACCTCATACCGAAGGTATCTGTTTTACTTGGAATGTTTGATATCTCATATATACTTGGATACTAAGGTTTGAACTTTGAATTTTAGAGAAATCTTGAATATCATATATTTTGAATACAACTGGTGATTAGGTTTTGTTGTTGTCCTGCAGGTTATTGTTGTGATTTATTTTTTACACTGATATTTCCTTTGTGACTTGACAGTATACTGCATTCATGCATGATCGCCAAAACGAACACTCAATTCCTCCTGCTGCTGATGGAGTCACTCCTTTCTGAAGGCATCCTCTCCTCCATTATCAACTTACAGAACCAGATGTTAAGGGTGAGTATCACTATTTACCATCATGATTTTACCAATGACTCACATGTTCTTGTCTGATTTTACCTTTAAAACAGCTAAGAATGTGACTATCAAATGTATCACAACAGACTAAAATTTAAACGCTACCAAATTCTTCTTGACAGAAATAAATGCAGGCTGTCTTAGAATTGACAGAAAGGTTAAAATATCTGAATGAAACTAAATAGTGCTTTTCTATTGACAGACGGCGTTGTTCCTGGCAGTTATGGAAAATAATGTGGATATTGTCCAGTATCTCCTGAACAACAATGCTGACCCCAACATACAGGGAAAGGTATTAACATGGTCCAACTATAAACAGAAACAGAACTGTCTGGTCTAACATGATCCCACTGTACACATAAACCAAAGTATGAGTGTCTCACTGTACACACAAACCAAAGTAAAATTGTCCCACTGTACACACAAACCAAAGTATGATGGTCCTGTTTACACAAACCAAGGTATGATGGTCCCACTGTACACACAAACCAAAGTATGAGTGTCCCACTGTACTCACAAACCAAAGTATGATTGTTTCCAACACACACAAACCAAAGTATGATGGTCCCACTGTACACACAAACCAAAGTATGAGTGTCCCACTGTAC